AAAACATGTGAAGACACTATACCGTTAATAATGCTGTGACATGTACTAACACTAGTTTGGCGGCGATAAGCAGATATGTTTTGATTAATCTTAAAACGCTTGTAAAATTTCATAGCATTATAGCATTATAAAACGTTTCTATACAATTTTGATTCTCTTTTCCAAAATTCGGGATCTCAAATTTAAACAATAAAGGCGAATTCATAAACCGCAGTTATAGAAGTATATTGTTTTATACGTCATAAGTCAATGCCATTAATTTATAAATTAGTGGGCATAAGAGACTCTTCGTATCATATATGCAGAATTGGAAAGTGGCATTCACTTCTTTTCAAAAGTACCTACTTGAGAAAGTTACTACCTATCTCAAATTTGAAAACCCATAGATGTATATCAGTCATTCTATTAGGAAATCTTCAGCGGTTTTTGTTGTCAGTGTTGGTGGTGACATCTTATACCTGCAAGAACTTGGTCAGTAAAGGTCAAGAAAAGTTGCAAGGTAATATTTAGAACAAAACTCGACGAAGGTTTCCACTCAGGTCGGACACGTTTCAATAGGCAGAAGAATTTCCATCTCCAAATAGAAATTTGATAGTTTGGACTGAAGTTGTTAGCAAACCTGCAGAAAGTATGATAGATAAAACCGCATGTCAGTCAAATTTACAGGTTGTCAATTTCGTATTGTGAATTGTAACTAGTGTATTATACGTCGTTATATTATAAATTAATTTCAAAATAATAATAGTTACTGCCTTGTCGGGTCTTAATAGTGCGCAGTCATTGTTTTTTTCTTTTTTTTAATAAATTTACTTTCCCGATGTCCTTGCACAAATTATAAAAAAAATAAATAGGAGTAGTATTTACCGTATTTACTTTTCAAAATTTCATATTGATTAGCGTTTTATGAGGCCTTCTACCCGATATTTCTAAAATACGTCTAAAATTTCAGTCCAGAAGTTTCGAAGATCGTCTGTGTAATAAAGTTGCCAACAGATGACAGACAGACGATAGACAGGTGAGAGACAGACGATAGACAGACGATAACGGGAGAACCACTTTTTCACATTTTGATGGAGGTTGTGAAACTTTGAGAAAACATAAAACTAGCCGTTCGCTTGATGGATCATATGATAACTTACGCTCGGAAAGTAAAATGTGAAGACATTATTAGACCAGAAATAAAGGAGAGTGTTACGCCGCTTTGAGATGACGTCATGAAGTTTCTAGAACTGGAAATTTCAGAGTAATCTGTTTTGTAGTTTCCTAGTTAAAGTTAGTTTACATTTTTTTAAATCCAGTTAGAATTACATGACAATCGAGCCACTAATTTTAGATATTAGGGGCAATTCTGAATGAAACCTGTTAAAATTTAAAGGTTGTTAAAAATCAAGTTTTTTGTCGGATGTGTATATTAATTGGTATTCCGGATCCCGATAAATTAACACCATGTTAAAATTGACATATTTTTATCGGATCCGTTTAAATTTTCGGATGACTTCGTTAATTTGGTTTAAACGAACTACCGCGTGTGTTTCGTGGCCTATTTTAGGTTCAAGATGCCTTGACTTTACTATCATGAATTCAAATTTTGTTGGAATTGAGCTTCTTAAACATAAAATCTGGTACAGATAAATTATAATATAAAATTAAGGAGCAGACGGAGACGGACCGAGACCAAGTGGTACGTATTCAACGGTGATCACAATTTGTGAGGTTAGGAGTGCAATTAGTGAATCAAAACATTCAAAACAAATCCAAGTTTATTCTGGATTCTTGGATAATTTATAATTTGGCATCAATTACTATATTTAACTGCAGGAAGCCACTTATAAGAATATAAGAAATTAACTCCATGGTAAGTAAGTTTATACTCAAGTAAACTGAAGTAAAATGCATTGGTTTTAGGTTATGAAATTTTATCATCCGATTTGATGTTCATATTGAACAACACATAATAGTTATGTATGTGTTCAGTCATGTAATTGCTTTTCTGAAATTAGCTGAAAATGATACCGTTTCCAAGAAAATCCAGTGTCTTGAGGGAGAAGTGTTACTTTTTATTAAAAACGCACCAAATGATAACTTTTATTACTTGCATAAAGTTGCTTCAGTAATGGGTGCTTTTTGTGGTTTAATGCGGGAGGAACTGGCCAAGCTGCGCATCAACAACATTGAAGACAGATGATTTGTTTCAGTGGTCGAAATTGCAGACTGGTGCCTCAAAAAGCTTCACAATCATAAAAGAGGACAGTATAGGAGCGTCAAATTTAGTTAAACAATTGAAAATTGTATTTTTTACTTGGGAAATGAGAATAGAAATTATTTTCGTTATGTTTTTATTTAGGTATGAAATGTTTGTAAATTGTTAATTAAAATAAATTATTTTCCAAATGTAGTTATGTTGTTATTTAATAACCATAAAAATTAACTTGCAATTTGCGGGCAATTGTTATTTGGAGCATTACGAGGGTGCTAATTGCTACCATTTCCAAGGTGTTATCGTTCAGTAATTGACAGGTGAAAAATAAATTAATCAACGTGCCACACTTTTTTCCTGATGATTTATTAAATAACTACTTACATTCTTTGTAAATTCTCTTCATAATTTACTATAAATAAATGCAAAATACCGTCCAGGTACGCTATTACTGTTTTTTTTGTTAATTAAAGGGTACTAGCGAGGGATCCTTTAAAACTGTCACTTTTAACGGATTCATTTAAACACCCTTGTTAAAATTTAACATCAATTTGATGTTTTAGAATAGTAAATTTTGATTTTGTCGGATGTTTAAATTTAAAGGGTGTTAAAATTAAACAGACTTCAAAATTAAACAGTACAGAATAGAGATTCATTTTTAACAACCTTTAAAATTTTAACAACCTTTAAATTTTAACAGGTTTCATTCAGAATTGCCCCTATTATCGGTTTAAGAAGTTCGCCAACAGACGACGGACAGATGGAAATTGAAACCTACTTTCTCATATTATAAAAGCTATGAAACGTTAAGAAAATATGCAATTAGTAATGCGTCAAGTGTACTGTATTATAATATAATACATATAGTGAAAAGGACCCAACAAAAATTTAAACATTATTTTATTTATTTTGCTTCTATTACAAAACTAAAAATAACGTGCATTAAAGGTATTGAATAACGATACACTGGAAAATTACTGAAAATATATATCAAACATGATTGTCATTGTAAAAATATTTCGGTCATATGAAAAATTTTTTAGAATGCAAAAGTGAACTTCTTGAACGAAGCGCATGATAAAGCCTTCTTTTAGTTGAGTGGTTAGAAGTGATCAAAGAATTTCGTGACTTACCCTAGAGATATATTTTACTGGTTGAAAATTTGACTTTAATCATTTTCTAGTAAAGATTTTTACCTTTGAAACTACCGCATCTTGCTTGTTTTTTGTTCGGTATTAAAGATATTCAAATAAAAACTCGACAAAGAATTTTTCGCAACTTGCGAAGTGGTCAAACAATAACATTCCTCGGAAAGCCCTGCTTGGAAATTTGCAATTTTCTATCACGCAAACTTCGGCAAACGACCGAGTAGTTTTTATTCCACATTTACATCGTGTCTACTCTTTACTGTTATATGGGTGACGTGACGCTTTATGTCAGGATATAAAGCTCATACCGCGTCACTCTGAGTCGTCGCACTCGTCGCTGCACGCTTCGTATTTATAATCCTTTTTATTAGTGTCTCTGGCTCATTGAAATTTAATGACGTTGTTGTGGTTTATACGCACTCTAGTGTGGTAATATTGTAATTAGGTTACGTACTTGTTACATTAGAAACTTGAATAAAGTTTTATGGGAAGGAAGCGCTGATTACTCGAGAATCTTGAAAAGCTTAATGGTGATAAAAAATAGCCATTTATTTGTTAATAAAAGTTCTATTTTTTCTTAAAGTCTCCACTCATTAATTTGTAACACCCCGACAGGAGAACAACGAATCCTACTAAAGTATGTTGTAAAGTCAGCATCCAAAATGCCAGTAAATACGTTGTTCGATCGCAATACTTCTCACCAAGTTTTTCGTCATAGTTTGGTTGGTACTCTTTATAAACCCAGTAGCTTCCTAGAAGAAAATGGTTTTATTGGTTGAACCTAAGATGTGACGCTATACCTACCTAAACAGTGCCATATGATGTAGAATGTAACCAAAGCGATGGTAATGTTAAACAAATGTTTATTTATTGTTTTACTTATGAACTTTGCCAGCGCGCCCACAAATCCTGAAAAGCGGAAGTTTCAGTTTATTGTAGTTTGTTCTTTTAACTGTGGAAAATTACCTGCAACAATTAAATAAATTGGGATTAGCCTACTAACGGAGCAGCTGTTAAGATTGACCCAACCAATGGTAAACATGAAGAAGAATATCGCATAGAGCAGCACAAGCGAAGCGTTTATTCCAGCTGAAAACCAACATTATTACGTATTCAGTGTACGCACCCTCTTCAAGACATTCTAGCGTGTAGGCTGTAGCGTACAGAGAAAAAGTAAATGTCAGAAATTATCGTAAGACGTAAAGTAACTTTTGCCACATTAAATTTAAATTATTCGTCATTTACGTGTTCTCGAGTACACGCTCATTGTAATACCTACTTCTTTTTTGCTCATTTTCAAAACATGTGACTAACTGTCAGAGCTACTTACGTGGAACTTTTTCTTTAACTTTTTCCAAGGGTTCACTGCTTTCCTCAGTCTCAGCATTTAGTTCGTTATCGTGTTTTTCTACATCAACATCGACGCCTGGTTCTTTTTTGGTTGACATGTTGGTAGTTTTTTGCTGCTTCTTTTCACTTCACACATGCGCCAACTTACGAACATAGTGGAATAATATGTTTCTCTATTTATATTTTTTGCACGGTGCTCGATTGTATTTTTAGTTTTGGATTTACAGTTTGGCACCATGGCGATTGTTTGGAGCGCAGTTTGAATAAATTGTTGGCGACATCGTTGGAGAATTGATATGAGTATAAACAAACTTTCGTATTTAGTAAAAATAACTGTTACAGATCTTTCACACTTTGTTTTAATATAAAACAAATTGCCTTAATATTGTAGAAGCTACATGCACTTACATTATATTAAAATAAGCCTTTCTGTATCGGATGTACCTCTAGAACTCATTTTCTGGTGACAGAGTCCTGCAGTAACAAGCTAAGCGTAAACATAGTGAGTTCTATAGATAAAGGCGATTTTACAACGTCAATCTTTGTAACAACAGTCTAATAACAGGTATAAATAGGGCGTTTTCAACAAGTATCAAAAATACACGAAATGTTTACATGTAACATGCTTTGCGCGTTTGGATGGAAGTATATTTGTGTATGAAGCAATATTAATGATGAGTTTTTACGATTTCATCGCTATCTTTGGTTGATACTACTGTTAGGGACGTGGTCACTTCCGGATTTGAAGACGAGTATTCCACATCCATGCATTGGTCACATGCCGACGTAATGAGTAAGATGCAACATAAGAAGCAACAAAATCCACAGATTATAGCGATTATAAACGCGTAGAAAATCGTAATATAGGTAAATGCAAGTATATAGGCGCCCTTGTTGCAAAATAAATCCCCCGCGCTGGGATCATAACTTGGTTGAAATTCCTTATAGACCCAGTAAGTCCCTGAAAGTTAAGAATTTTGGTGAGGATTAGTTTATATCATAAGAAGGTTACCTAGGAAAAAGAAGATTGTTTCGACACTATATAAAGCAGACTCGAAGTATACTACCTGCACATGTGCAGAGATTCGATCACGTACGTAACTTACAAATTTAGACATCAAACCAATTGCTCCTAAAATAAAAAAATCCGCCATTTATTTGAAAGAGGAAAGCAATAACTCACCAGTAGCTATTAAAAAGAGCGGAATATGCTTGTTGACGGGACACTTGTGAACATTGAGACAACCAACAACCAGCATAGACAAATTGATGATTGCAGATATGAGAAGTCCATATTTTATTCCGGCTGAAATAGAAAAAACACGTGAAAGTTCATTTAATAATATACAAATGGATGCCAATTATACGTCAACCATTCCAACGTATGAGTTATTAAACTAACATCATGTACATTGCATCTTATTTTTACCGTGATTTAAAAACTATTAACAACAATAAATAATAAACAAACTTTACTCACGTACTAACTTTTCCTTAAGTTTTTTTATGGAATCTTGAACTACCACCTTCTTGTTTTTTGAATCATCGCCTCGTTGTTGCTGATCCATTACGTTCGATGTAACAAACAAATTCACCGCATCTCAGTCTAGCCACGTCTGTCCGTTATCCTAGCATCGAGACTACTAAACAGAATGGTGGCCACTTTGTTTACTAGGACTACGCGACGCCATTGTGGGCGTGCTAGAACTCAGCGTAACCAAGGTTAATTCGATGATTTATAGGTCAGTCGATATTTTTGATCAAATAAAAATTTCATACTCTTAATTTAGTATTGCTGGACGGGAAAGTGAAAGCAAACAGAGATAGGCTGAAATATCTTTAATTGCAGAAAACAAATGCATGAATGATACAGAGTTATTATTAGAGATATACTATTTCTCCGTGGATCCCTGCTCGGTTGCAAGCGGAATTTCAGTTGTATTTTCTGCATCGTGCGTACGCTCCTTTGGACCTAATTTATCGAGTAAAACAACGGCCAAGATGAAGCAACTAACAATCAGTATAGCTAACAACAGTAAAGCATAAATTATCGTGATGTAAATAAACGAAAATAGATATAACGTTTTGTCGCAGTATTTTTCTCCACTTTGGGGCTCGTAACTGGGTTCAAATTCTCTGTATATGTAATAAGATCCTAAAACAAAACAGTTATTACGGCAGCAATTGATGCGAGTTACATGTTACCAATTATAAAAATTGTTAGTTCGACAGTTGCTAATAAAGATAAAATCGGAGTGACTTTAATACATTTGATGATGAAATTTCTAAATAGCATTATAAGTTTTGTTACAACGCCAATAATACCTTCAAACACAATATCAGATAATTTAGGTATGGCTTTTGTGACAATGTGTTTCTTACCCATTACCAACAGATACTTTGGAATTTCCGGTTCCACGGGACATTTGTGGAAATAAATAGCAGCAATTACAATTTTGGTTATGTGTATTGCACTGGCAAAAATAAAACTGAATCTCAGTGTACCTGAAAGTTTTATATGATGTTTACCGCCGTTTCTACTAAATTTATTATATACGTTACCTGAACATTTTTTTACACATTGCTGAAATCTTGAGGGTCTATTAACATTTTCCGTTACTTTGTTTTTGTTTTGTTCCGGCATGGTTTAAACGATCTACGCGCGGCACGCTTTAACTTTCCCACTAATGTTTTCTATTTCGGTTTGGGTTTGTGCGCTGGATTGGTAAACTTGGTGCAGGCGTAGTCGAACGACACTTGGGAGGAGGCTTGAATTTTATATTGCTTTTGATGGTGATTCTTGGTTAACGAAATAATAAAAGATAAAATCCAGTTACTTTTTTTAAGTGTAATAATTATTACTCACAAGAAAATTAAAGCATATTCGAGGAAGGTTTTATCGAGCACAAATGAAGGCAGGGACGCCGTTTGAATTCAAATGGTCATTGCATTTAAAAACTTTTAAAAGAAAAATTTAAAAAGTTTACCTTTAATACTTATTTTGAATTTTGTTTTAAATTTAAAGGTTATTCTTTTTTTTAACTATTTTTCGGTACCAAAGTATTTGTCAGAAGCACTTACCATGCTGTATTCAAGAAATACATAAAGAAGTTGTGTTGTGTAAACGGTTCAGTAGGGAGTAAAACTAGATAGTCTCTGTTACCTCTAAAACGTCATAAGATTTCACTTTCCATTTTTTCAACCTTTTAAAGATTAATATCACTTTACTAAATTATAAAAAGATAAAATACTTTCTGTAAACGAAATTTTTATTTTTTTTAATTATCTGCTTCGTCAAATGGAAAAAGCGTTTTATAAAAATGCTTATTTTTTTCCTGGTTTACAATTTCACCACAATTCTTTGTGTTGCCAATTGGTTTCTAGCCAATTATTACACTCTGATCGGACTATTTTATTTTTATTGCTTACCTAATATTATAAACATAGTATCATTGCTAAATACAAAAATATCAGATAGCTTTCCTTTCATTTGGGCTTGTTATCTTTTTTTTTATTATAGTTTAGATGAAACAGAGAAAAATACATTGGTCGAAGGTTATTTCGACAGAACTTGCCTCGCCCCTGAAGTAGGTACAATAAAACATATTCAGCTTTTTAAAAAAATATAAAATTGGTTTTCCAAATTTCATTTTTTATGAGAACTCCCATAAGTTTCAAATGAGTTTTTCCTTGACACATGTCAATTTAGGTAGGTATAGTTTAATACTAATAATAACAGTATTGCATTTCCAAATTTTCGAGAAAATGGAGTGAACTGTTTCTGATTTAATAATATAATTACATAATTGACTGACTGATTCACTAATATTTTTTTTAGTCATCCTGTATAAGCATGCAGTGGTAAATCCCCAGTATGGACTCATCACATTTTGCACATTTTGCATACGGCTTATTTATTTATTATTATTAACGATTATTCATAGGTAATTCATAAAACAGTAGAAGCTATTGATGTTGGATGCCTGATGAGAAAGTTTACCATTTCATAAATAACCATATGTTAAACACACAACAGTGTAAATGATATTTTAGCAAAACAGATGAGACCTTGAAACGCGTAAAAGGTTCGCATCAATGGATAAAAGGAGGAATGCGAGAACGGAAAATTTAAAACCCTTTTATGTGACTGCTAGCTATTGAATTATGGGGATTTTTATCAAATGTACATCTTTTCGTAAAACCAGAGAGTTCGCAAATTCTTATAGGTAATTCAGGCTTCTGTGGACCCCAAACTTTTTTCTATTTTTTTCGTCTTTCTTGTTATTAAATGTTAACATATTGCACATGAAAATGTACGTTGTTGTGCGTCTGTTTTAAACGCAGAAAATGTGTTGAACTCTTTGTTTTGACTTTATTTAATGTGGTTAATTGTGACGAAAATTTGCTAAATTTTGTACGGGGATGTATTAACATTTTCCATCGTAGTTTAAATGATCTCTACCAACGCTTTAACCCTCCTACTAATGGGAGGACCCAGGTTAGTGCAAAAAAATCTTTAGAATTTCCTTGTTTCTAAAAACTAAAAGGCTTGAAATCGGATTAAGATTATCTTTTTTATCAGATAATTTAAAGTGGAAAGCACAAAAATAAAACAAACAAAAAATGTACATAATTATTTTTAAACATTCATGGTTATTGGAAATGACACTTTGGTAAAAATAAAGATTTGTGAAATGTTCACATGTAAAGCTAAAAAAGAAGAACACTAAATAGCCAAATTCAAAACTAGAAGTATCTTTTATGTATGGTTGCTATCCAGCTTTGAAAACTATGCCGACCTTCTCGTTATTAAATACCCCATATACCGATGAACATATTGTAATTTGAAATGTATCTACATATTTTCATTATTTTTCTGACAGTAACGAAAAGCAAATAATATAAATTTATTAATGTTACTACTTAGGAAGTCTTAAATGCGTCAACAACAAGAGACTCTCAATCATCAGTATAATAAAACAAAACAAAGATGTCACATGAACACTCAGGGAAGTACAAGTTGTAACAAAAACGTATTAAAGTTGATTAAGTTATGTTACTTAAATGTTATTATCCAGATAACCCGTCTTTGAAAAGTCAATATTCCATGGTACTAAGATGCGGTTTCAATTCAAAGATGGAATATCAAGATCAGTCCAAGAAAATTTGTAGTATTAGTGAATTCGAACAAATCGACAACTTTGGTTAAAACGATTCTAAAATACTTATCTAGAATTGTTCGAACTATGGGCAATAGTATCATTGTCTGTGTAGTGTAAATTTTTACCTACTATTTTTAAAGCAGAGTGTTAGTTCATGACGTAAAATAAAAATAACTGTTAATCATTTTCGAAAGAGTGGGCCACAGGATATCAAGAAGAAACAAGCGATTTTCGTAAGTCAACGTTTCGCTCCTTTATTGGAGTTTCTTCCAGGACTTATTTTTACGCGAGTTATATACGTGTTGATAACGTATTGAAAATGCTAAACGATCTTACATTTGTTGCATTTAAACGCAACATGTATGCAAAAACAAAATTTATTCGTTTATCCCCTCCCAAAAATTTGATGACGCCATCTCAAAATTTCGTCGAATAAAACCTATCTAAAATGTACAAACTATTATGACTCTATCATTCTGGTTTATCACTGCATTCATATTTTTTTAGAATTGCTTATACAGAAGCACACAAAAAAGTTAATGAATGACGCGATTTATTTTATTGATCGAATTAAGAACGGATCACCTCTGTTTGATCGTCATCATTTTATCATTATTAGTATTACACTACAGCGATTCAAATTTATATACATGCCCTTGCTAAAAGGTTGATGATATCCTCACGAACTTTCGTAATGGAAAAACTTGTAATATACGCAAAAAAAAAAAAAATTGACAAAATAAAATTTTGTAATTTTTCAAAAGGGCCGGATGTTAGGGTAAATGTGTACAAGAGTACGCACTTAGTGTAAAACTTAAGACAAATTTTATGATATGGGTTCGTCATATACATGTTTAGAGATCAGATATATTTAATTGTACGTCCCAAGACCACTATATTTTAAGAGTAATTTCAATTTTTGTCAAGATGTGTAAATGCGCACTCTTAGACAGTCCACTGCACAAGAGTGCGCATTTGAACGCTTATGAGTGCGCATTACATTTTATGAAAAAAATCTTTATTTCTAAGGTGAAAATAAATAGGGACAAGTGACTACAGACTACACATACAACGAGATCCATATTTCTTCGTACTTTAGGCGTCTTGAAATTCGAGAAAACGTAAAAGTAGAGAGTCGGTCGACGGACTCGATTACAATACTTCATTCCCTTACGCTCAGGAAGTAAAAATTAAAAAACAAACATTACCATAACCACCACCACACAACTTGAGAAGCAGTACAAAGTAGTAGAGTTTAAATAATTCATTATAGTATCATATGTATCTATAAGACTACGTATCGCAAGTATTGCGCACTCTTGTGCATTTGTACATAACCTAATGTTTTCAAAGTTAAAAGCTTTTGATGTATAGAAAGTACAAAACTGCTAGTGTATAACGACACCTTAAAAGTTACAGCTAATGAACACTATTACTGTAAAATAAAAGAACTGCTACGTACCTTACAAAAAACTAAAACTATGAGCGGTAAAAATTACATCCACACAACGCGTAAACATAAAATCGTCAGTACGATCAAACTATAAACTATATACAGGTCACTGTTGCACCTTTATCTCAGGTTTAGCATTGGATTGTGAATGGTATAACTTCATCTTACCCAGATGGCACTAATAAGCAGAAATCATCAGTGCGTACTCTTATACATATGCGCACTCTTGTACACATTTACCCTATAGATACTATATTTTGAGATGGAGCGAACCTTTGTCTAAATAAACTTGGACCAATTTTTTTCCCCAAAATACTGTTGTCTAAGGTAAAAAAAAAAATCAAGTCGGATTCATAAATCCCAAATATTAGAAGTATTAGTGGTATATAACTATATAGGATTTACAATGCAAAATTATGATATATTTCAAAAATACTTATAAAATTTTACAACAATCACTCCAGTAGTTTCGGAAGTTATCTGTCTAATAAATTTCCTGAAGTACAATCAACGTCACAGCGTATTCTTTGGTAAAAGTAAAAGTCACACGCAATGGGAGGCCTATTTGTTCATGCTCTAGTAGTCACAAATCGTCGATTAAACATGAGTATAATCGTTCTCCGGATGGACCCTTTTCACAATACTTCCCTAGCTTACGCTTGGGAAGTAATAAAAAAGTCCTTAATAAATCATTACTTAGGTTAACTTATAAATCTTATAATATACGTCATTTTTCGAAAATTTACCGATTAAAAAAACATGAGAAATCCAAATTTTGTAATTATAAAAGTTAATACTCATGTTGTATAGCTTGTAACTTGGCGTATAATTATTGTTAATATATTAGTCAGTTTGACAATAATTTTGCCGCAACTGACGACATAAAACGTTTCTCAGTTTCTGAAAAAAGGGTATATCAATATTTTTTCTCGTATATTTTGAAAGAGATTTCGTTGTATTATTTGTAACTGAGGTAGCTCTAGCAAAAAAGTGCCAGAGGCAAGATATATAAATGTAAACCGTAAGTACGATTTTGTTAAATTACAGCTCTTTATTTTATGCATCAAGAATTTCTTTCTCGCAAGACATTTTGGATTATTTATACAAAGCTAAAATTTAGTTGCTTCGTTATGATTTACTTGATAAACATCGGTATATTATGAAAACATTTTTTATGCTGGGT